TGGAAGTTACTAGCGAGAATGAGATTGGAAATGCAGCTGAAGCATTTCTTTTTTTTTTGTTTTTGTTTTTGTTTTCAAGACAGGGTTTCTCTGTGTAGCTTTGCGCCTTTCCTGGAACTCACTCAGTAGTCCAGGCTGGCCTTGAACTCACAATGATCCACCTGGCTCTGCCTCCCGAGTGCTGGGATTAAAGGCGTGCGCCACCACCGCCAGGTGTTGAAGTTGCAGCTTGGCTTCCTGACAGCTGATAGTAAGATGCAAAGAGAGAGAAATGACTTAAGACAGAATTGTTAAGAAGAAAGGAAAGCCGAATTTAAGGATTAAGAATTTAAACAGAAAATCCTCAGTCCATCCTTAGTGTAGTGTAAAAGGGCCAATGAAACACACTCTTACCCTAAAACCAAAGCCGGTGAAAGAAATACACTTTCCCAAAGAAACGCACTCTGCCCCTGACCAACTTATGAAAACCAACCAATCCCTGAGCACGAAATCCAGCCGTCTCTGAGTTTGTCCAAACTCAGGGATTGAAATTCGAACAATTCCCACCCTGAAAATCTTAACCCTGGAAAAGCTGCCCCTAAGAAGCCCCACATAAACCATATGGAAAGGGTAGCTGTCCAATTGGGAGCTGCCCTTTCCACCCTAGCAGAAAAGCCACCCTCCTGGATTCTTCCCTCCCAGTAAATCTCTTGAGTGAGTTTTGGATGAAAACCTTCTTTTGTCGGAGTGGAGCAGAGCAGAAAAGTAACAATTTTCACCAGCCGTAGCGAATTGCTACATTTCTTGGGGAGGGGGTGTTTGGAAGTAGGGGGTGTGTGTGGAGGGAGGTGAAGGGGGCCCCACCAGAACAGAGCTGTAGGTATAGCCTGGCGTCTGACGGCCAGGATACCTTTCCGTCCAGAGCTGTAACACACATACTCCAAAAATTGTAAACATGAAGAGGCCATTTAATGAAGGGGATTAATATGCATGTGAAGCGAGAGTTTAATTAACCACCCGCAGGAAAACTGACAAATGGGAAGGGATGAAGGAAGGCCGCTGGACTTCTTGAATTTGATAGGATAGGACTAGAGTTGTTCAGCTAATACAGACTATTCTGCAAGACCAGAAGGAAGCAGTTCAGAGATCATCAAGATTGTTTCCTCGGGTTCAAAATTGGGGGGAGGAGAGGTATTTATCACAGACTTAGTGGACCAGATGTCTTCCACCTGAAGCTGTGGTGGGTGCAGGCTACTCAGAGCCCTTATACATTGAAAGCACAAGGCTTGGTTCATCTCTTGGCTAAAGAGAGGTTTGCTGCAGGTGCACTGTACCTTGGGTCTCACCCATATCTGATTTAGATGATATTTGTGATCATTTTAAATTGTCAGCCTGATACAATAGAATGACCTGAGAGGAAAGTCTGTGTATTTACTTATTTTGAGAGAAGGTCTCACTATGTAGCTCTGGCTGGCCTAGAACTTGTTATGTAGACCAGGCTGGCCCCAAACTTGCAGAGATTTGACTGCCTCTGCCTCCTGAGTGCTGGAATAAAGGCGTGCCCAGCAAGAGGGAAGTCTTGATTAAAGAGTTGTCTAGACTGGGTCTGGTGACACTTACCTTTAATCCCAGCACTCGGGAGGCAGAAGCAGGCAGATCTCTGTGAGTTCGAGGCTAGCCTGGTCTACAGAGCGAGAGCCAGGACAGGATCCTAAGCTACACAGAGAAATCTTGTCTCGAAAAAACAAAAAAACAAACAAACCAAAAAAAGTTGTCTAGGTCAAGTTTGCCCTTGGCAGGCCTGTGGGGGATATTCTTGGTGGTTAGTTGATGTGAGAAGATCCAGCCCACCCTGAGTGGCACCATTCCTTAAGCAGGAGCTCCTGAACTGTACGAGGAGGGACCCTAGGTAGGTAGGTGATTCGGACATGAGAGCAAGGTCCTTACTGATAGGATTGGTGGGCTACATAGCAAGACCCCAATTTAAAAAAAAAAAAAAACAAATAAACAAATAAATAAAAGCTGGTAGGAACTGGGCCTCAGCAGACATGGAGTCTCTTAGTGCCCTGACTTGGGTTTCGCGGCCTCCAGAATATGGTATTCTATCATAACCAAGTGACTTAGCCAAGTTCTGTTCTACACACATTTGTGCTTGGCAATGTCTTGAGCTGAAACCATTAGTGCCCATGTTCACACCACAGGCATAGACTAAAATGATCACTTATTTTTGGCAACCAGAAGATGTGGCTGGAATTGTTATTAAGAAGACTTATTTCTAAAGCAGATGGTTTTTACAGGGTTTTCATGGTTAGCAATCATTTGATTACTATTTATAATTATATTGTCATATGGAGTTTGAGAAATAAATTTCTTTTTCAGGATGTTTTGTTAATTTCCCGTTCATGCTGATGCGTATAATATACTGACAGAACCCCACTTAACTCCCAAGGTTAGCTCTAGTCCATTTTCTCCACTTGCTTGACCAGCTGAAGTAGTGGAGGGTTGTCATGGATTTTTTTGTTTGTTTGTTTGTTTGTTTCACTCACTTTTTTTTTCTGGAGGTTCATCGCACCAAGTTCTTAAAAAGCAAACAACCGCGCCAGCGGGTTTGTGAAGCTTCCCTGGGGATGTAAGGAAGGAAGGAAGATTTGTAAACCCGGGCTATTCAAGCTGCTGCAGCTCCTGGGGCAGTTGTCTGAGCTGCTGCTGATGGTCTGCGCCCTGCGGAGCTAATGCATGTCTCCTGCTGGCTGCCTAGAGGATAAGAAAAGATCCTGTACTCCAAAGCCAGAGATGGGACAGTAAAGGAAAGGGCTGGATGGGACCCAGTCTCTGTTTTATTTATCTAGGAAGTGGAGGGGGGTGGGGCGCTGGGGGGTGGGGTGTAGAGGAGTCACCCTAGTAACTCGGAGACAGACGAGGTTTGCTTTATCATCCCTGGAGACTGCTCAGGCAGGCACAGGCCTGTCCCTCGTGCCTGGAGCTGCTGCTACTGCCAAGGAGAGACTAACAAGAGAAATGATGATTCCCAAGCTGTCAGGATGAAAGACTCCTCGCAAATACTTTGGGGCTAAGAATGGAAAGAACTGGACTGTGGTTTCAACTTTGTCTTTAATTAGCTGCTTGACTTTTGATAAGTTGCCTCCCCTTGCACATCCCCCTGTGAACACAGGAGTCCACACAATGGTCTCCTCAGCCCTTTGCATCTCTCGTGTTCCTTAGGTTTTGATTACTTATTGAGGTCTCTCCCCACATCTGTAGTGTCTTATTAAATAAGAAATGTGAACATTGCTGCAGATTTCTTCTGGCTCTGGGAAACTGGATAGCCAAAAGTTATATATATATGTGTATATATATGTATATATATATATATAAAATATATGCCCCAAATATATATTTATGTATATATTATCAAAGATATATATCTTTGATAATTTCATATGTGTGTATATATAATGATCATATAAGCCCCCCACTTATTCCCTCCAGCCCCCCTGTACCCCTCCCAATGACATCCCTACAGACTTAGTCTTGTTCTTTTTTCCTTTTTCTTTCTGTTTTGTTTTTTGGTTAAGTCAGTAAGGCCAATGGTCGCTGCCCATGTGTGCATGGGTGTGAGGCCATCCACCGGAATGTTGAGAAATTGACCACTGGTCACACCAGCCAAGAAACTTCCCCAGCAGCTGCCAGCTGCCAGGAGCTCCTCCAGGAAGGGTGGCCCCGTCTGTATGGGAGTTTTGGCTAGCTTGCTCCTGTGCGGGTAGCCATGGCTGATGTGACCTCATGGGTGTCATTTCCCTGTCACTTCCAGCATTTCCCAGCAGTCCTCTCCATCTTCCAGCTTTCACATTCCTTTTTGACTTTTCCGTGATGTTTCCCAGTCTTGGCAGAGGGTGGGGAGCTGAGAAAGATATCCCATTTGGGGCTGAGCACTCAGTCTCTTCTCAGCCTTTCGGCTACTTAGGTGTGTCCGTATCAGCCGCTGCCCTCTGCATAAACAATCTTCTCTGACAAGGCTGAAAGTCCAGGTCCTACGTCAGATTCAATCCCTTTAAATTAATCAATATCAACTTTGAGGATTAGTGCCGTTTTTAGAGAGTTGGGCATAGTGTCAGGCCTGTCGTTAGGCTGCTGGTTCTGTTACTTCTCAAAAATCTCCACATGGATTCCAGTGCTTCCCAGAGGCTTTATTGGAATGGGATTTGGGGGGAAACTTTGAGAAACCAAGAGTTGAAGTTAGTCATTTGCTTTCTCTAGTTGTAGTTTTTATGCCTGAGTTAGGGATGCTAACCTCTCACAGGAAAACATCAAGACCACCTGCTGTACTGAAGCTGGCTGGATGTGGTCTTGGCGGGTGGAGCCAGGGCGCTGGGCCACTGCAGAGGCCCAATTCAAACTAGTTTGAATAACAAGGAAATTGTTGATTCTCATAACTAAAGATGGAGACTACATGCTTCAGGGTCAGTTTGATCTGTGTTGTATACTCTGCTTTTCTGGGATTCTAGAGTTACCTCAGTTGCCCTTTCATTGTGAAAAAAATAGTAATTTTTTTTTTTTTGGTCTGTATTCACATACCACATTGTAGGGGTTTCTCAACAATGATGCTTCGAGACTTGGAGCCAGATAATTTTCTGTTGCAGGATGTTCAGTAACCTCATTGCCTAAATAGTATCTGTATTTTGATAATCAAAACTGTGCTTGGCTGTCCCACAAGTAGGCGTGGGGAACAAATCCACCCCAGCTGGGAACCACTGGTCTAAAAGAAGGCTAACCAGTTTTAGCAAGTGGCTTATCTGTAATGTGTTTCCTAGAAAATCTCAAGGGAAGGCCTTCTTCTCTCTTTGGCTCGACCCTAGGTCACGCCCCCTCTGGAATCTGTCCCTGGCAAAGGGAAGTAACATGTCCTTTAGACTAATCCCACCCTGACTGAGAAAGTCATGCAGGGGAGTAAAGGCCAAGAAGTCTGGCGGGCCTGCTCCTCTACACTCTAAACATCCTTCTTTTTTCCTTCTCCCTCTCAGTGAGGATTATGGAAAGAACTTTAAGGATATTACAAATCTCATCAATAACACCTTCATTCGGACTGAATTTGGCATGGCTATTGGTCCTGAGAACTCCGGAAAGGTGAGACTCCTCCCTGCATGTGAAGTGGGTGCTCCGTGCCACCTGAAAGCTGTTAGTGCTGGAATGACCCAGGGGCTCACAGTATTGCATGTGTGAGGCTTAGTTTTAATGGTCAACATGATACAATCTAGAATCACTCAGGAAGACCCTCAGTGGAAGGCTGTCTAGATCAAATTGGCCCGTGGGCACGTCTCTGGAGGATCATCCTGATTGCATTAACTGCTATGGGAAGCAGACCCAGCCCAGTGTGGGCAGCACAGTTCCCTAGGCAGAGGATCACAGGCTGTGTAAGTGTGGAAACGGTGCTGAGCACAAGCAGGCAAGCATGTGTGTGTGTTCCCTCTCTGCTCTTGACTGTGGATGTGACCAGCTGCTTCAGATTCTTGTCTTGGCTTCCACACAGTGATAGACTGTAACCTGGAATTGAGGGCCAAATAAACTCTTTCTCTCCTAACCTGTTTTTTTGTCAGGGTGTTTCATCACAGCAGCATAAATGAACTTAGGACAGCATTTTAGTTTGGTATTGCTGTATTTTAAAATTAAACATAGTCTGATACCGATTGTCTTAGGGTTTCTGTTGCTGTGAAGAGACACCATGGCCGTGGCAACTCTTACAAAGGAAAAACATTTAATTGGGGTGGCTTACAGTTTCAGAGGGTCAGTCCATCATCATCATGGTACCACTTGGTGGTGTGCAAGCAGGCATGGTGCTGGAGAAGGAGCTGAGAGTCCTACATCCTGACCTGCAGGCAGCAGGAAGTGGTCTGAGTGAAGTCTGAGTCACACCGAGTGAAATTTGAACAAAGGAGACCTCAAAGCCCATGCTACAGTGACACACTTCCTCCAACAAGGCCATACCTAGTCCAGCAAAGCCACACCTCCTAATAATGCCTATGAGCATATGGAGGGCAATTACATTCAAACTACCACACTGATCATAAAAGAATGGGATTTCGCACAGACTTTTTTTTTCCTGGTTCACATCCAAGATGCACCCAAACCCTTCATACTTAGGTGGTAGTTGTTGAGCATTGCAGCATGCACTCCCTTTGACAACACTGTAGTCTTTGGGGAAACTACATCTCAAAACTAGCCAGAGTAAAAAAAAAATCATAGGTATGATGCATTGGCAGGATATCTTTCTTATAAGACTAAAACTTGGACACACACACACACACACACACACACACACACACACACACACACACACGCCCTGCAGGACCCTCCCCTGCTCTCACCGTGTTCCTCCCTAACCCTGACCTCTCCTCTCCCTGGCCAGGTGATATTAACAGCCGAGGTGTCTGGGGGAAGCCGAGGAGGGAGAGTGTTCAGGTCATCAGACTTTGCCAAGAACTTTGTGCAGACAGACCTCCCCTTCCATCCTCTGACTCAGATGATGTACAGCCCTCAGAACTCCGATTACCTGCTAGCTCTCAGCACAGAGGTGAGTCCCCGTTGAACTTGCCTTTTCTTGTTTACAGCATCATAATATACTGGCTTTAAAGGATCCTCTAGCACGTTACATCAGACTTTTCCCCAAAGTCTCCTTATGACGAAATGTGTGTTTTTTACACCCTGTTCCCATCTGGGTATGACTTCTGTATACCATCTCTTCTAGGTATGTGTGATGTATAGTTGTCATTCTATGTTTTTTTAATGAATGAATGTCTGCTGCTGGAATAACGAAGTAGAGAACAGTTTGCAGTCATCATTCTCGAGCTGCAAAGGACAAGTATAAATTGTCACCCTCCTAAGACTGTCACTGTTACCAGAGGAGAGGAAGTTGAGGAGACTGGCACTGAAGACTGATTCTACCTGAGGGGACCCAGTCAGTGTCTGCTGAACCAGGATCTGTCTCTCCCACCCCCACCGAGGCGGCTCAGATGAGCTCCCGTTGTCAATATAATTGACATTGGCAGACATCGTGTTCTTAATTGCTGCGTTTCAGAGCAGGGGCCAATCCTGTTTGCATGGCTCTATGACCCCGCTCCCTTTGATTCTACCTCTCTAGATGGTCCTTCTTGGTCTCTTTCTTAGACTCCGTTCAGCTTACCCTTAACTGCTGTCTGTTCATTTCACATTGAGCAACCGCTTCTATTCTGTTTCCCACTTATCCTGTAAAGATTCTCAGATCCTTACCTCTGGCCCTGGCTTTCCCTTAGGCCATCAGGTTCCTGTCTTGCTGACCCCAGAGGCATTGTCAGGTGTGTGTCCCACAGGCAGCTCAAACTCAGTCCCAGCAGATCTTTTCTGCTCCTCTCTCAGGCGTGATCCTACAGTATTTATAGTAATTAATGATACAATGTACCCCACACCCCACACCCACACCTGACGTCATTGACTTACACACACACACACACACACACACACACACAGGACTAACTATTGGAAAAGTCGGTTCTCTTCTGGCTTCATCTCTAGCTGACCCCATTCCCCAGGGCCACGGTTGAAGACATCATTAACTCTCACAGAACTGACTGGCACTGACGCTCCGAAGCCCCTTCCCCCATTCTCATCTCTGGCTCTGAAGCTGTCATTCCGCTCCCAGCATGCCTTCCTGGCGAGAGCTCACATACAGTAAAGCCAGGTTCCTCACCTCACCTCTCATCGCCAGCTCCGCATCCCTCGCCTTGGCATGATGATGCTCCACTGATGTCCTTTGACCTTCCTGCCCCTCCATGTCTGTCCCCTTCCTGCCATTGCCAGGCTTCACTTGTCTTTCCTTTGGATCACGCCGCCCATCAATTCAGTCAGCGCGGTGTTCTTCGCCAGTCAACTGTCCCTGCGCACGGCGCCCCCCCCTCCCCTCCCCTCCCCTCCCCTCCCCCTCCTCCACTGGACCTCATCCATAACACCACATGGTAGTGCGTCTTCTTCTCATCTGTGTCCCCTGTGAAACTGTGAGAGGCTTGAGAGATGGAATGCAATGTCTGGTACACCGCCTGGCACACGGGGTGCTTTATATGAATTTGTTGTTCTCAATCCCAAGACTCAAAGGAGTCTGGGTAATGTGTGCGTGCGTGCGTGCGTGTGTGTGTGTGTGTGTGTGTGTGTGTGTGTGTGTGTGTGTGTGTGTGTGTGTGTATGTGTGTACATGTGCATGCATGAGTGTGTGTTGTGAGTGTTTTGCTCAGACTGCTCCAGTGTGTGTTTCTAATGTACTGACTGATTGGATGTGAATTATTAAAGGTCATATAAACAGCTGCAAAGAATAAAGCTGGAATTTTGATAAGTCATTTTTAATCTTTCAGAATGGCCTGTGGGTGTCCAAGAATTTTGGGGAAAAATGGGAAGAAATCCACAAAGCAGTATGTTTGGCCAAATGGTGAGTAGCACAAGACTCCATCTGTGCGGGGCCCTAACCTTAGCGCTGCCAAAGTCACATGGGTAAATAGCAGGCACTTGCTGTGTGCCAAGTGCTCTTCAGGGTCCTGTGAGGGAAGAGAGAGGGGACACAGGTCTGGGACACAGACCCGGCCCTGGGGGAGCTGCTGTCTGTGTTGGGAAGGAGGATTTTGCCTCAGTGAATGTTATTAGGCGTGTGACTGCTGCCTACAAAGAGGTTTTTCTCCCTAGCTGGTGACATCCATTGGGACACAAAATGGAGCTTTAATGTGGGGTCTGTGGTACGTCTCTAGAGCCAGACTTACACTTCCTCGTCTAGCACTCCACTTCAGTTGCGTAAAACATAGTGTGAACTCAGGAAGAGCTGAAAGGGCTTCCAGACTGCGCAAGTGCCACCATTTGCAGCAAGAAAACACTCTCTTCCGCTGGCAGTGTGCCCTGCCCCTCCGCGCCCGCCCAAAGACCGAGGACCAGAGGCAGCTCTGCCTTAGGAGCAAAGTCGCTTTTGTTCCAGCCTGGCTCTGTTGCTAGTCAGTGGCTTTACCCTCTCTGGGCTTCAGTTCCCTCTTGGTAAAAGGAGGCTCCTTTGCAGAATATGGAGGGTGGAAGCAAGAATTGAATCAGCAGCTCAGACCTCCCACATTCTGCTTCTCAGGTCCGTGTTCTGAGTCCCTTCTTTTCCACTGACTAATTTCAACAAATCTGGTGATCTGGGTTCCCAGTACACAGCAGATAGCTCCAGAGATGAGCTACAGGGCTGCTAGCAGCAAGTCCACAGCAACGTTAGAATTACAGCCTGAGAGCTGGAAGCAGGCAGGAGAGCCACGGAAAAAACAGAGACAAAACCCAGGGCCAAATTACTGTGCCAGATCAGGGGAGGACACTCACTTCAGCAACATCTGGGAGAACACTGTATTATGGCTTGATATGATTAATGTTCCTGGTGATGACCCCAAATCCCAAGAGTTTAATGTGTTCTACTCAGGGAGCCAGAAGAATAAATCATACGTATTTGAAACATGTCTATTAAAATCAGTTAAAATACTAGCTATGTGACTTAAGTGAGGTGGGCCTTTTCCAGAAGCAGTCGCTCAATGTGGATTTTAGAGTGATCCTGTGCACTCACTCGCCACATCTGGTTTCTTGTTATGTATTTTAATCAGTGGTGTTGGTACTGGATAGGACTTGACAGCAAGAAAGCCACTTTTATGGTAACTAAGTTAACAAATCCCTTCAAACAGTTTAAGGTATGGTAATCTTAGTCATTGAAATTCATCTTTACAATAAAAAGCTATTTTTAAATGATATTTTATTGCTGATGTAAGGTTTCTTTGTTTTGAGACAAGGTCTCTCTATGGAGCCCTGGCTGTCCTGGAACTTGCTATATAAACCAGGATGGTCTCAAACTCACAGAGATCTGCTTGCCTCTGCCTTCTGAGTGCTGGGATCAAAGATATGCGCCACTATGCCCAGCTTTACACAAGGTTTTTTACCTTTACAATTGTTTTCCTCATGGGACTTTCACCTATGTGTGTGTATGTGCACCACGTGCATGAGGTGCCTACAGGGGTCAGAAGAGGCAGCAGACTCCCTGGCATAGAAGTTACAGACATTTGTGAGCCAGCATGTGGGTGCTGGGAAGTGAACCCAGGTCCTCTGCAAGAGCAACAAACGCTCTTAACTGCTGAGCCATCCCTCCAGCCCTGGTATCTTACTTTTGTACGACATTTAATTGCTTAGCTCTAAACTCAAGGTAGCTATGCTACTGATGCTGATGACCCATCTTTAGATCTTTGATCTCTAGGAATTTACAGCCTGAAGTTCTAAAAAAGCACCCTCAAACCCAGGACCTTTTGCTGATGGTAATCTATAAGTGCTATCAGATCTCATTCCCTGCAAACTGCCTCTCCAAGTTTCATTTTAAATAATTCAACCTCTGAACTAGTTGTCTATTTGAGATGAAAGAACTAAATTATTTAGCTCATAAAAATTACTGAGCTAAATTCAGATGGGAAGCCACAAAGCCTAAAACCTAGCAGCTGACCCAAAAAAGCCAATCAGTATGACAGAGGCAAGGGGCACACACTGTGTGGTTACAACAGCTGGCTAGGCAACAAAGTGACGGCCCACAGTGTGCAGCCTCTAGAAGAGAGCTTCCTGCAGGCTGGCGTCTTATCCACTGGGCTACACGGTCCTTGAACAGGGATTCTTATCTTGGTTACCAACGACATACTGGGATGAGTCATTACTCAGGGAGTTGGTCTGTGCACTTAGATGTTTGGAAGCGTCCTGACCTGTACCCAGGAGATGCCAGGAGTACCTTCTGCCTCCTCCTCTCCCCTCCTCAACTGTGGCAACCAAAAATGTCTTCCGATACTTCCAAGTGTCTGAAGGAGGCAGAACTTGCCATTGCTGAGAATCCATTGCTCTAGAATTTTGCAGCTAAAAGGAAATATTTTGCAGTGAGGGCCTCACAGGAGGTCTAGTTTGTAAGCCCAGTGCAGAAAGATTGTGAGGTTATGATTTAGTGACGCAAGAGAGAAGCATGTAGCGGGGTGGGGGGTGGTCTGAGCCCAGAGGCTGGTTTGGAGTGAAGTACATCATTATGACTGGAAGAGTTCTCATAATGAAGTACATGAATGGAGGGGACAGGGAGCCCAGGCTGTGGGGAGCTCCACCAGTGGACCATCCCATCCCAGCTCAAACTCTTCCTTCTGAATTCTCACTGTAAACCTGACTAAACACAGTGAGCAGCATGGCCGCCATTGCCGGGGGCTTTGTGACTAGGCTAACATGGTCTCTTAACCCATTCCTTATCCCTGTCTTTGCCTCCTTGTAGGGGACCAGACAACATCATCTTCTTTACCACCTATGTGAATGGCTCCTGCAGTAAGTACATTGTAGTCCCAGAAAAGAGTGTCCTGGCTGCCCATTCATGGTAGAACATTCTGGGTTGTGTGTGGTAGAAATAAAAGATTTTCCCATGCTCCTGCCAATTCAGTAGCTACTGAAAATTCAAAACCGTTAATTACTTTTAAAATCTTGGGCCGGGCGGTGGTGGCGCACGCCTTTAATCCCAGCACTTGGGAGGCAGAGGCAGGTGGATCTCTGTGAATTTGAGGCCAGCCTGGTCCACAGAGCAAGATCCAGGAAAGGCACAAAGCTACACAGAGAAACCCTGTCTCAAAAAACCAAAAATAAATAAATAAAATGAAATAAAATCTTGAAACTACAACTAAATTCCTTCATCATGCCCAGGTCAATAAAAATGTAACTATGCCTGGAGATGATACAGCTCATCTTGGCAATCGTATGTGTTCCTTTTCTCATTATTGTAACCAAGTACCTGACAAACACAACTTACGGGGAGAGAGGTTATTTGGCTCCCAGTTTAGAGGGCACAGTCCGTCCTGGTGGGGGAGGCATGGAGGCTGAGCTCCCAGTTTAGAGGGCGCAGTCTGTCGTGGTGGGGGAGGCATGGAGGCTGAGCTCCCAGTTTAGAGGGCGCAGTCCGTCGTGGTGGGGGAGGCATGGAGGCTGCAGCGGCTGTCCCTGGCAGTAGCATCTTGCTGTCTGGCCTGTACACATGTTGGTGTGTTAGGAAGGAGAGAGCTCAGGTCAGAATGAGAATCAAAGATCATCCATGCCATCTGTAAGCAGCCCATTTCTGCTAACGAGGCCACAGCCTAAAAGGTTTCACACCCTCTCAACAGTTCTGCCAACTGGGGTCCAGGAACTCAGACATCTGAGTCTATGGGGGACATTCCACATTTAAACTGTCACGTGCCACCCTGGCCCCTCCCTGCTGGATCACTGTCATTGTATAATGCAAAATACGTTCAGTCCAACATCACAAGTTACTGCTGTCAAAGATCCTATGTCTCTTCTGAGACCCAGGACAGTCTCTTAGCTGTGGGCCTTATAAAAATCAAAACTTGAATTGCATGTTCCCCGTATACAAGGGCGCGTGCTTCTGAGAGAGCATAGGACAGCATAGGAAGATGGGAGCCAAGGACCAAACCCATCAGATAAACTGACTCTGAAGCCCCATGCCCACATCTGGGAATCATGGTGGCATCATCGGAACTTCAGTGACCTTGCGTGGCCCCTCCTCTACAGCTCTTGTCACCTGAGGCCCATGTGGCCTCTTCCTTGAGACAGCTCCACCTGGGCCTCCAGCCTTCTGCAGTGTATGTCTGTATTTCCAGCATCTTGGGATCTACATTTGTAGCTTATCCTTTACCTGCACAACTTCATGCACTGGCCCCCAAGGGTCTCCCTGCAGAGATTAACCCAGTTTACATCGCCTGGCCTCACGGGCTCTTTCATGAGACAAATCTTGATGACCCATCACTCATACATTCTGCTTACCTGAAAAAGCACCACGTGGACAATGCCAGAAATCTGCAGCTGTCTAGAGATATATCCACCCCTCCCACCTTGGACCACAGCCGCAGTGGCTTCTAAGTGCCTGCAGCTGGACCAGGTGGCCCAATTTTTTTTCTTGTGTGTCCTGGAGGCTTGTGTTCTCAGGCATGGCTTTGTGGTTTTGCCCTGGAGCCTTCGTTGGGTGGAGTCTTGCCCTCACGGCACCTTTCCTATTGTTCGGCTGCACTGTGATGGCACCACTTGTCTCTTTACCTGTTACAGCCACTTTGTCTCCCTGCCTTGCCTGCAGCTTTAAACTTGCTCCTGTCCCTGTCTTCAGCAAACTGAGTATCTTTCACATCCTCCTCCACCTCCACTCTCCCTTTGAGTTTCCCCTGTAAACCTGACTGCGCACATGGGGAGCAGTAACCCTAACACAGTCTGAATGTTAGCTGCCTGGAGATTTCTGCCAAATAAATTATTCCCTTAGTTTTCAGATGAGCCTCACTCAAAATTTCAAATCATAGGCAGACTAGAGTCAGGTTCTTTACCATAGTGTGGCATGGATGTTCTCTAAACCGGTTCCCAATAGAGATCTGGTTCTCATCTTAAACTGGCCTTCACATCTACGTTTCTCTCAGAATTCTGGTCTTCATGAGCTCCCACTAAAAGGGCCCATTGAGCTGTGCTTATAGCATTCTGGTGCTCATCCCACAGCTCCAAACTCTTCCACATTCCCCGAACTAGCCAGTTCTGAAAGTCACATGGTAAGGCTACCACTACAGTGTACTCTTTGATTCCAAATCTCTGTACTAAGTACTTTTCTCATCACTGATTGTCTTAGTCCATGTTCTATTGCTGTGAAGAGACACCATGACCATGGCAACTCTTATAAAAGAAAGCATTTAACTGGGGCTGGCTTGCAGTTTCAGAGGTCAAGCCATTATCATCTTGACACAGAACATAGGGGCACACAGGCAGGTGGTGCTGGAGAGGTAGCTGAGAGAGTTCTACACCTGGATCAGTGGGCAGCAGGAAGAGAGAGTGACACTGGGTCTGGCTTGGGCTTCTGAAACCTCAGAGCCCCGCCCCCTGAGTGACACACTCCCTCCAACAAGGCCACACCTCCTAATCCTTCTCAAGTAGTGCCACTCCCTGATGACTAAGCATTCAAATATATGAGCGTATGGGGGTCATTCTTACTCAGACCACCACACTGACAAAACACCGACAGGAGCAACTTAAAGGAAGAGGGGTTCCTTTGGCTCCCAGGGCACAGTCTGTCACGGTGGGGAAGACACAGTGTCTGAAGCAGCTCTGTCCCTGGCAGCGGGAGTGAGTATGCAGCATGGCCTGGATAAGAGAGGCTTATTCTCCTTTACAGTTTCTGGGGCGCAGTCCACAATGGCCACAATGGCCAGGAGAGCGTGGCAGCTGGAGCATCCCTGCCCGGCAGTGAGAGCTCACAGCCGTTGCCTGTTCACATCTTAGTAGATCCGGGAGCAGAGAGCTTGTACCAGAATCAGAAGTAAATGCCACCTTCAAGCTCTGCCCTCAGTGACCCACAGTCCCAAAGAGTTCACAACTGCCCAAATGGTGCCAAGCATTTAAACACATGAGCCTGTGGGGTAGTCTGTCATATCCAAACCATTACAGCGGTGTAGATACAGCAAACGCTAGGATGTAAACAGTAGGAAACTCACGGGCATAATGATTCCTGTAGAAGATAGATCACTTTCATGTTGGCCGAACTATTGGCTTCCCAATCCGTGCAGCAATATCCAAGCAGGAAAAAAAATATTTCTTTTATTCATGCAACAAATACCCGAGTCCTTGCTGTAGGCTACACACTAGTGCAATGAGAAAAAAAAAACACCCAGGATCTGCATTGTGGAACAGTAACGTAGGGCTGTTAGATGATAAACAAGAAAGGAAGATCTCCAACAAGACAATTTAAAACAGAATAAGATCATTTTAAAGTATGCCACGGAGAGTACAAATTATCACTGCTGCTGTTACACAACACTGTGTTTGAGTCATGAACACCCAGAAAACTCCCATAAATAAAACCCAAATGCAAAGTCTCTGTATAACAGGCCATGTCACATCTATGCTGTCCTTGATCAGCACTCACTGGATTAAAAGTGCTTTTTCTGCATTAAAATAAGAGCAGTTCTAGGGCTGGAGAGATGGCTGAGCCATTAAAGGCGAGGCTCCCAACCAAAACCAGGAGCAAGTCTAGAGCAGCTGTATGAATGGGAGTCTCACCTGTAAGTGAAATTTTAATTGGTATTTTGTCTTGTTTAAGAAGCTGACCTTGGCGCACTGGAATTATGGAGAACATCTGACTTGGGGAAGACCTTCAAAACCATTGGTGTGAAAATCTACTCGTTTGGCCTTGGGGGCCGTTTCCTGTTTGCCTCTGTGATGGCTGATAAGGTGAGTGTTTGCCTCTCCGGGGTCCGATGTCCCCGCTCATACACGCCGTGTGCATCTCTTTTACTGTGTAGTCCTGACAGCATTTCTTGTCCTCTTGCATTTAAAATTTTTTTTTACATGTATTTGTTTATTTTGTCCGTGTGTGATGTCTGTGTTGGGCACACACACGCCATGGCAAATGTGTGGAGATCAGAGGACAGTGTGCAGGAGTCTATCCTTTCCATACACCGTGGAGATCCAAGGAATCGAACCTATGTATCCAAGCTTGGTGGTGAGCTCATTCACCCACTGAGCCAGCTTGCCAACCCTGTGATTCTATTTTTTATTTATTTATTTATTTATTTGTATTTTTCTTTGTTTTTTTCAAGACAGGGTTTCTCTATGTACCTGTTGGGGTGGTCCTAGAACTTGCTCTGTAGACCAGGCTGGCCTCAAACTCACAGAGATCCACCTGCCTCTGCTTCCCAAGAGCTGGGGATTACAAGCATATGCCACCACCGCCCCACTTATTTTTGGTTTTTTGAAACAAGGTTTCTCTGTGTAATAGTCCTGGCTGTCTTGGAACTCGCTTTGTAGAGCAGACTGGCTTCATACTCACTGAGATCCACCTGCCTCTTTCTCCCAAGTGCTGGGATTAAAGGCGCGTGCCACCACTGCCTGGCTAGCCCTGTGATTTTAAATATTCTAGTAAAAGCTTGGGAGAGATTCTGTCCACAGAGGCTGACTGACTCTCAGGGGCTACCGTGGACGTTAACCTTTTTGTCATTGTGACTAGTCTTGCTTTTGGACTTGAAGGCCCAGTGTTTGGCTTTACTCAGACATGAATATCTGAAGTGGGAAGAAAGTGGTTCCTATGCACATTATTCTATAATCATAATAAAAAGATATAATGCTAGTTGAGTGTCTGTTACATACTGGGTACTAGTCTAAATCCCACAAGATAGCAGTGAATAAATAGATACATTTCCTGCTCTCTGAGCTTGTGTTCACGTGGGGAAGCCCATGCTAAGCAAGTGTCTCAATCAGTGTTCCGTTGCTGTGAAGAGACACCATGACCACGGCAACCCCTAGAAAGGAAAACAGTTAATTGGGGTGGCTTACAGTTCAGAAGTTTAGCCCATTATCATCATGGTGGGAAACTTGGCAGCACACAGGCAGACATGGTGCTGGAGGAGCTGAGAGTTCTGCTTCTGGATCAGCAGGCAGCAGGAAGAGAGACCCTGGGCCTGGCTTGAGCTTCTGAAACCTCAAAGCCTTTCCCAGTGACACACTTCCTCCAACGAGGCCACGCCCACTCCAACAAGGCCACGCCCACTCCAACAAGGCCACACCCACCCCAACGAGGCCACGCCCACTCCAACAAGGCCACACCTCCTAATCATGTCAAATAGCTCCATTCCCTGATGACCAATCATTCAAACACATGCGTCTATGGGGCCATTCCTGTTCCAACCACCACAGCAAGTAGGTCCGTCTATGAAAAATTAAAGCAGCATGGAGGTGAGGAGCAACAGGAACCGGCAGCAATATTACAGACCCTCCCTGTGCTTGGGTGGGATCTAGGTGACCTGAGGAGGGCGTCCCTGTGTGAACATCTGGGTGGAAAGCAAGTGTGGAATCGGCAAGGACCGAGACAGACCCTCAGACCTCCTGAAGACAGGGAGAGTGGCAGTGTGGCCGGAGCATAGGGAAGCCTGGGACGGGGAGGGGGTGGGGTGGGGTAGGGAGTGAGAAGCTGTAGCCCACGGCACTCTTTTTCTTCAGGTGGATTGTAGTATGATCCACTGTAGCAGAACAGGTATGCCTGGGAGAAGGCGAGGGTGGGGGCAGCAAGAAGAGGCGCCGAGAGGCTGCCAAGTATTCAAGGAAAGGAGCTGGGGCCAGACTGTTAACGGTGGGTGAGGGGAGACATGGTGAGACTGCATGTGTGTGTTTCAGTATATTGCCAATCGGACAAGCCGGTGCCTTCCATGTACCTTGTCAGACAAGAAAAACAAAGTGAGACTGTAAGAAACATTCAAGTCTTTGGCCTGAGCAACCGAGTAAATGACAGTGCTGTTCCCTGCAGTAGCAAAGACTATAGGGGGAGCAGGTTTGTGGGAGAAAACCAAGGATTCAGCGTGTTGGATACGAAATGCCTAGTATATATCTGAGAGGAAACGTCAAGTCAGTGTGTGTGTGTACGAATCTCCCGAAATTCCATGGTGTTTAAGGCCATGTGACCGGGTGCTTTCTTCTGGGTGAGTAGGTGGAGAAGAGATGGGAGGACTGAGCAAGGCCTAAGCACCTCCTCACTGAAGGTCGCAAAGAAAAGAAGAACTGAGCTGAGAGGCCTGGGTGGGAGGAAGGGGGGGAGGCCGGGGAAATCAGGACACCACGCTGTTGTAAAAGTGAAATGAAGAAAGCGCTGGCAGAGGCAGCTGTCAGTTGGGCAAACTCAGTGAGATGTTGAGTTACGTGAACTCTGAGAGTGAGCCCCTGGGCTGGAAGTGTGGGTGTTGGCGACCTTGGGAGAATCGGTTTCTTTGGAGTAGTGAGGTTAAAAGAGGGAACTGGGCACGGGAAGTAGATACGGCCTCTACCACTGAACTGCAGCTGCTGAGCTCTAGCCGCTGTTTTAAATCAATCAGCCGAGACTAGGACTTAACTGCTTCTTAGCAGACCCCATTACCAGCCGAATACTCGCCGACCCATATCCTTACAGGAATCTTGGACTCCTTGGCCTCTCCCTAGCCCATGCATGTTCCCTTCATGGCTATGGAGAGAATTCCTTAGAGGCACGTCTCATGTTGATTCTCCTGTGGTCGCCCAACATGGATTTCACCTTCGTCTTCTAGACCATCAATTATCTAGTTCTTTGGATTAATTGTCTAAAGCCAGGGTTATCTCAAAGAGACCAAGCATTTAAGTGACAGTCATTTTGAGAATTTCAAGCGAGCATGTGCAAATGTTATAAAGCCAGCCTAGTCATACCCTTAGCTCTGTCGAAGGGGATGGGATGCCAGCGACTGGAAGGACCATAGGAAGGAAGGAGCTAGAGAAAGCCGAGATAGAATGGGCCACTTCATTGCCTGGAGGAGAGTGGAAGCTGCTTTGAGAACTGGCGCAGGACCTTTTGTTATAATTGGACCCACTGAGGAAATGATTAATACAACTATTTAAAAAAAATGTTTCTATTCATGTCCTTGACATGACACTCTGACAGAAGATTAAAAATACAAATGTTGGCATATTTATTCTAGGATACAACCAGAAGGATCCACGTGTCAACAGACCAAGGGGACACATGGAGCATGGCGCAGCTTCCTTCTGTGGGACAGGAGCAATTCTATTCTATTCTGGCGGCCAATGATGACATGGTATTCATGCACGTAGATGAACCTGGAGGTAAGAGCCATTTGGTGATCCATCCTTGAATGCGTAGATTTAAGCTTTGGCCTCTGCTCTGAGCTTTCCTTTTTACATGTCGACCTTTCCTCTTACCCCAAGAAGTTTATTACTACCCTTTAAAAGGCCACTTGTTCTGGTGCCCACGGTGGTCTGTGGGGGTGGCTGAGTGCTTCCCAGAGCAGACCGCTCAGTCTGCTGAACTCAAGCTGTGACCAGGTAAGTACAGGAAAGATTCAGAAGCTAGTGTGGTTTGTTTGATGTTTTCTTGAGACAGGGACTCACTCTATAATCCAGGGTGGCTTCAAACTCATGATGCTCCTGCCCTAACCTCCTGGATGCTGGGGTTACAAGTATGTACCACTTTGCCCAGCTTAGAGACTCATAGCCACTGGATAAAGCAACTTTATGTCTTTTGAACATAATGATAGAAAGTTAGGGCTGACATTTTGTCTCTTTTCAATTTCACTTTTCTAGTGATAAATTTTTTATATAAAACTATCAGTTTGTGATATATTAGAATTTTTAAAAAAATTCTTCACAAAAGGGTTTAAGAAGCATTCTAAAGTACAAAGATCTAGAAATGTATGAAATATGGATCTAAATACAATGCATGTGCCAGCAAAATATACCTGGGAAGAGCTTTTCTGATTACGTCATGCGGCAATGCAGTGTCTTCTGGGTTCCAGCCTCTAAGTTGAGTGCTAGGATTAGAGACAGCGAGCGTGAAGACTGAGTGTGAAACCGTGATGAACACTCAGGTCCGAGTCTGCCTGTGAAGACAACAGGTGTGCTGGGCCAGGCAGTCACGACCAGACTTCTGTTTTGTTTTGGTTCTCTGCTTCAAGACTCTGTGTTTTCGTTTGCTCCTGTCAGATACTGGATTTGGCACAATCTTTACCTCCGACGATCGAGGCATCGTCTACTCCAAGTCTCTAGACCGACACCTCTACACCACCACAGGCGGCGAGACAGACTTCACCAACGTGACCTCGCTCCGTGGAGTCTACATAACGAGCATGCTCTCAGAAGGTGAGACTCGGCATAGACCTGGCCCCTTCAGCTGAGTGGGTCAGGATTCCAGGTCTTCGGGGGAAGCTGACGGTCCTTCCCCCAGGGATGCGCTGGCCTTGCCAACAAGCCGACCCTTTTACATTGTGGCTTCATTGTGTAAAGATATTGTGGGGATAGCGGTAAGACAGAGCGGGGCGGCAAGCATGGAAAGAAAGAGGGGTCCACATCGGGCAGTGTATGCTATGAGTCTCCTGTATTGGGAGGTTGAGGCCTAGGGGAATGAACCTGAACTAGAATCACGTCTGGTTTTCATACAGAGCGCATAGTACTAGGCCAGCCAAACTTCTTCCAGTGTTCTACCATAAGGCCCCTTCTACCAAGGCTCTATGCAAGGAAACACGTTACTTCCAAGGACAAAGACCCTTAAAGCTTTTTTTTTTTTTTTTTTGGTTTTTCGAGATAGGGTTTCTCTGTGTAGCTTTGCGCCTTTCCTGGAACTCGCTTTGGAGACCAGGCTGGCCTTGAACACAGAGATCCACCTGGCTCTGCCTCCCAAGTGCTGGGATTAAAGGCGTGTGCCACCACCGCCCGGTCCTTAAAGCTTTTTTATGTGTCTATGGCTGGCAGGAGGTAAGGGCTATTTTCCTTCTGTAAATAGCTTGCAATGGCCGATGAGGTCCTCAGTTACTCTGACTCCCCTTTTCCTCCCCGACCTCACCTCCGGCTCTTCGCTCTTCCATTTGCTCTGTGGCACTCAGCTGCCCCACGGCTGCCAGTCCTCAAATGTACCAGCTGCACACATTCATTCATCACACCTCTGCCAGGCAGTTCCTCGGATGTCTGCCAGGCAGAGCGCTTCTTCAGGTCTTTGCTCCTGTGTTACTTTCTGAGTGAGAACTGCCTGGATTAGGCTGTTTTAAATGGAAACCTTCTCCCTTCCTCACACACGTTTCCAATCTACCTTAGATGTCCAACAGCACTGATTCTATGTGATCCACTTATTTGCTGTTTCATCCTGCTGGAATGTGCATTTCATAGGCTCATGCTGCTGATGGTGGTGATGATGATGATTGTGTGTGTGTGTGTGTGTGTGTGTGTGTGTGTGTGT